TTCTTTTATGCAGTAAATCAAGTCCTACTTCTCACGTTCTTCAGGAATTCTTCTTGTACAATATTATGGCATGTTCCTACTTCCTTAAAGTTCTCTCACTGTTGAACATAAGCATTCACGTAACATGTTTTATGTGGTCCTTTGGAAATCACTCTCTGCAATTAACAGAGCACCAAGATTGCCTCAGTTTCCCAGTTCCCGTCGAACTGTTCGTCTGCCCGCGTTCATCTGCCCAGTGCGGGCTGCAGGTGGCTCTTTGGGTATGTGATTATGACCTTTCAGTTGCTCGGGGACAACAGGAAACGTGGTTTCTGGTTGCTGCTACTTCAAACTTTAATTGAAACTGTTTTTGTTTGTGGGATGTGGAACTTTTTCCTCATAAGGGTCAACTGAGTTCACCCTGTTTCCTAAGATTTATATAACTTTGGCTGAAAACCCCATTGCACAGACTGTGAAAAGTCCCATATTTCACCGAAGCTTTTAAAAATTTCCAGGGGATGTGAAGCCTGCCTCTGATCACATCGGGCCCCAAGTCTCTGTCCCAGTAGAGCTGGTTCACTTTAGAAGGGCTTTCCACGGAGACCAATGGCAGACGGAGCCTCTCCCTTCATTCTCCCAGACACCTGCCTAGCCTCTCTCTCAGGAAAAGAAACTTGTTCACGCCTGATATTTCTGTATGTTCCAGGAAATAAAAGCAGTTTACATTTGCAAAGGATGTGAAATGTTATAAGTAGTATTTAAATATTTATCTTACTAAAAAGTAAGTTACCCAGTTATTTCTGCAACTACAATGCCAGCCTTCTGCCATTTTGACTAGCCCTCTCTCTCCCTTACTTTCTAAAAGTTGCTCCTGGGAACTCCAGATTTTTCTCACTTCATGGAATCTAGCACCTCACCTCTCTCCTGCTTCATCCATCTTTTAAATCCTAGCCCTACCTAGGTGCTCAGCAGAAAAAAAAAGGCTTTTCATTTATTAGTACTCAGCAGTGTATAGACTATGCTTTTGGTTACATATGAGGTCTGTCCAGAAGGCATCCAGCCATGTACTGTGAAAAACAGAGACATTTATTCAAGAGGATACAAGATACAAGAAACAATGTACACAGGACAATGACCCCTCGGTCCCCTTCAAGCAGGCACCTTGGGACCTGACACAGTTCCCCCTGTCACCATCAGCTGCCCTGTCATATTTTCCTGAATCTCATCGACAGTCTGAAGTCTCTTCCCTTTCAAGGGTGATTTTAGTTTAGGGAAAAGCCAGAAGTCACAGGGCCCTAAATCTGGGCTGCAAGTGGGGCTGAGTCACCTGGGTGATTTGATGTTTCACCAAAATCTCCAGGTCGGATGCGATGCATGAGCTGGAGCGTTGTCGTGATGAAGCTTGCAGTCACCCGTGGCCCATAGCTGCAGCCTTCTGAGTCATCCCAGTAGTTTCCACAGAGGAATGGCCAAGCTTAACACAAAATCTGGTGGAGACTCCTTGCTTTACCAGCTCATCTTGAACGGGACACTCACACAGGACACATGCTCACTCAATGGCATCTACCGTCCCCACTGACTAGTACAGTGAAGTTGTCATTGTTCACACGTGTGCAATCCAGTCCACTTGCCTTGGCTGCCAGGTTTCATTGATGCCACACAAACCATTCTCATTATGTTAACAATGGCTGGACTTTTTGCAGATAGACCTTGTATAGCTTTGTGTGTGTGTGTGTGTGTGTGTGTGTGTGTGTACTTAGATGGGTTAGGATGACCAAATGGAATTTAGCTACTCAACTTATATTTGATATGCAAATTCTAGAGTCAGTCAGCATTCATTTAATCAACAACTGTTTCTTTTTGGATGGGGGCTGGAAAAAATGTTTTTTCTTAGATTTTATTTATTTATCTTTAGAGAGGAAGGGAAGGAGAGAGAGAGAGAAACATCAATGTATGGTTGCCTCTCATGCGTCCCCTGCTGGGAAACTGGCCTGCAACCCAGGCATGTGCCCTGACTGGGAGTCGAACCGTGATCCCTTAGTTTGTAGGCCTGTGCTCAATCCACTGAGCTACACCAGCCAGGGCTGGAAAAACGTTTTAATCAAAGATTATACAAGGTTAATATTTCTTATTTTTCATTTCTTTTTTCATTACAATTGTCGTTCAGTCTTATATTAGATTTAGGTGTACACAGTGTTATGCATCTATGTAACTTACAAAGATGTCCTCCTGATGCAGCTCGCATCCACCCGGCACCGTACGCAGTTATTGTGATGTTATTGGCTGTGTGCCCCGTGCCGAACTCACATCCCCGTGACTGTTCGCAACCACCAACTTGTACTTAATCCCTCCACCTTTTCCACTCACCCCTCAAACTCCTCCCATCTGGCAACCATCAATTGTGCTATGTACGAGTTTATTTCTGTTTAGTTTTCACCAAATAATTATTGAACATTTACTAGCAAAAACAAGGACAGTTCCTTCACCGTTGAAGTGGACAGTCTAGTAAATAAGTGAAAACCACAATTGTCCATGTTTACTTCTAAGCTGTAATAATTCTTATGAAGGGTGGGTATACAGTAGTCTGAGAAAATGTAACAAGAAGTGCCTGCTTGGGCTGTCATAACAAAATACCATGGCGTGTTTGGTGGCTTCAGCAGCCGACATTCATTTTCTTGCAGTTCTGGAGGCGGGAGGTCTGATACCAGGGTGTGGGCCTGGCTGGGTTCTGGGCAGAGCTCACTTCCTGGCTCTCCGACAACCGCCTCCTTGCTGTGTCCTCACAGGGCAGACAGAGTCTGGAGGGGAGAGAGTGCCCGTCTAACCCTGATCACCTCCTAAAGGCCCCATCTCCACATATCATCACACCGCAAGTTGGGCCTTCCACATATGAATTTCGGGAGGGTACAGGCATTCAAGTTATTAATAGGGAAAGTCAGAGAAGAGGGGAAGTGGGGCAGTAGAATCATCAGATTTTTACTTAAAAGGATCATTCTGGTTGTGGTATGGGGAATAGATGTTGGGAGGGGGTGTGGATGTTGGGAGGGGTGTAGATTTTGGGAAGGATGTAGACGTTAGGAAGGAATGTAGATGTGAGTCTGTGTAGATGTTGGGAGGAGGTATAGATGTTGGGGGAGTGTAGATATGAGGGGGTGTGGGTGTTGGGAGGGGACAGGAGCCAGTCAGGCCACGGCTGCTGGAGCCCGAATGCAGGTTGTTTGGCACCGACTGGGGAGGTGGAGGCGGGGTGGCCGACTCCATCAGCCTTGCCTTCCTGGATGTCTCTTTCTCCTCTTTGTCTGTTCTTCTGACCCACCCACATTGTCCTAGTCTGTGTACTATTTCCTTTTTACAGTCTAATATTCCTTCCAATTTCTCATGTACATGAGGGGACCTAGTATTCTTTCCTTTCCTTTTAAAGTCCTAGAATTCCCTTTCTGGTAGATGAAAGTATCTACCCCTCACAAATATTAGTCAAATATATTACAAAGTAAATGGTAAATACTTCAAACATTAACAGAGCAAAGAAATTAGTGTGATTTTTGTGTTAGAGGATATAAAATGCTTATATGTATGTTCTTTGTTGGAGACTTTAATCCTCTAAGTAAACAGCATCACACTTTATTGCTTATGCTGTTACCCATGCCGTGAAAACTTCAGCTTTAGGAAAATGAAAACGGCAGTGAGGTATCAGTTTTGACTTCCTGGACTGACGAAAAGCTGAACGATTGGTAACATATTCTGTCCGGGAGGCTGTGGGGGATGTGCTGGGAGCTTGTGAACTGGGCAGCGGGCAGCCTCGGTCAGTTACAACTGCGTTTGCCATTAGACTCGGCAATTCCACCCGACAGATTGAGTCTGCGGGCTGTTTTCAAACATTGGAAATGACTCAGGTACAAGGTTATTCGTTGGAAAATAATTTGCAATGGTGAAAGCTTGAAAAAAACATCAATAGGTGACTGGTTCGATACATTACACTTACATACAATTGAATGATATGCTTTCTATGAGTAGATATCAAATAATATTAAAAAATTAGGTGAAAATGTATGTTACAAAATGGTGTGTATAGGAGGCTATATTTTTGTGTAAAAGACTATAAGATGATAAAGACAATGAGGTATGTCCGGAAAAGCCCAGCCATTATAATATAGCAAGAATGCTTTTCATGACATCAATATAATCTGGCAGCCAAGGAGAGAGGACTGGAATGTGCACGTGTGAACAGTGATGACCTCACTGTACTAGTCACTGGGGGTGGTAGACACTGTTGAATAAGCATGTGTACTGTGTGGTCATCACATTCAAAATGACTGAGCAAGTATAGCAACAAATCTATATCAAATTTTGCATGAAGCTTGAGCATTCCTCCACAGACTCTTATTTAGATGATTCACAAGGCCACAGCTATGGGCAACTGGTGACTGACAGCTTCATCACGACAGTGTGCCCACTCATGAGAGTTTCTTTGTGAAACGTTAAATCATTCAGGTGACTTAGCCTCACTACAGCCCACATCTGAGGCCCTGTGACTTCTGGCTTTTCCCAAAACTAAAATTGTCTTTGAAAGGGGAAAGATTTCAGACCATCAGTGAGATTCAGGAAAATATGATCGGGCAGCTGGTGGCAATTGGGAGAACTGTGTGAGGTCCCAAGGTATCTACTTTAAAGGGGACTGAGGTATCATTCTTCTATGTACAATGTTTCCTGTAACTTCTTGAATAAATGTCTCTATTTTTCATATCGCATGGATGGATACTTTCTGGACAGACCTTGTATATTTATCTTTACGGTAAAGGGGAAACTCAATTAACTCAAAATGATGATAAGCTATACAGAGCTTTATCTCTGTGTGTATGATTATATATGTATACATGTATATATGTACACATGTCCACATATGTACTTGCATGTGTATTTGTAATTTTAACTTTCAATTGTGAAAGCGTATTGACCATGCAGAATAATAACTTTTTAAAGTCCCAATGTTTATTTTTCTATTTCTTATAACTTTTCTCATAGCTAAATAACTAATAGTTGATGCTGAAGACAGACCATATGTTTCCAAATAGGGCCCCTGTCACCCACTAGTTGTATGACCTTGGGCAAATCACTCGATGTCTCCGAACCTCAGTTTTCTCCTGCATGGAGTGGACATAATCACAGTTGTTGTTTAGTGGATTTAGGGTTTCAATCTTGCAAGATAAAATAGTTCTGGATATCTGTAACAAAACAACGTGAACGTAACTTTACTGAGTTGTAAACTTAAAAAGGGTAAATTTTATGTTTTGTTTTACCACAATTAAAAACAAAATATTTCTAAGTGAGGATATTCATAGTATCTACCTGCAATTTCACTGTGAGGATGATATAAATCGATGTGTTTGAGGAGCCCTTGGGCCAAGCCTGACATTCTGGGACCTGGCAAGGTTTGAGTCATTTTCTGTGGAATGAAAAGACAGCCCACTCTGGCCACACCCTTTGAACTCCCTGTAGGCGAGTCTGTGTTAGAAGCAGTTCCTCTGTTTGCAGATGGAGCTTGGTGGTCTCTGGGTGTATCATGGAGACACGTTTCCTAAGGTTTGAGTCGACTCTCTAAAGCTTAGGGATAAATATATTTATATTGCTAAAGTCCCCAATTTAGAGAGCTATATAATACTTCACGTCGTGAGGAAGGTATTATGGCTCCAGAACAACACAATCACTCCCTGGAATGTTTTCATTTGGCAAAGGGATGGAAAGAGCTGCTCCTACAACGCAGGCAGGCGCCCCCCTCGCGGACCGGCGCCCCAACGTTCCTGGTGCACAGCGGCGGTGTCAGCGGGTTTTGCCTGCTGAGCCCTTGGCCTGTCCGTGGCCGGAACACTGGCTGGTCCGATTTCTGGATTGTTTTCATAACATATTTTACTTCCCACAAGCAACAGGCTCTCCTGCTGCCACATACACAGGGCTTGTCCATGTCATTTTAACTTTTTTCAGCAACTTCACAGCTTCAGTTAATTTGTCAGCCACTTTCTCTCCAGCATCGATTGTACATCTGTTCTAAGCACCACCTTTTGGTTCCGCCCCAGCGAACCAACGCCACTCAGATGCGTGTGACAAGAAATTCGAATTTCCATCCTTGTAACAAATTCTGAGCAATGACGGTGGCAAAGACACGCCGCGGTGACTCAAAAGTGGTTTGGCACCGTGGTAGTGCAGTCCACACCACTGCTCCGCAACTCGGTTTGGAAATATGTCCGGTTCCTGAAAGGATGAACTTTGAATACAATGTTTTTTGTTTGTTTGTTTGCTTGCTTTTCCAGTTAACTGGATGGCTCAGGAGAATATCCATATTCTTACATCTGACGTTTGCATTTGGCATCTACGTTTGACGATGCTTTCAAAGGAATGAAACGCTTTAGCGTAAGAAATGCAGAATGAATTGCATAAATACAAAACATAAAATAGGTGTCATCTTCAAAAATGGAAGCAAAGAAATGCACTTTTTGTTGTTAAATATAGGGTGTTTACCTCTAAATTTTTTTGTAAAGAGTTAAAGCTGTTATCTGCCATTAGAGATCATAACAACATCTAAAATTCAGTCCGTAGCCACCGTGTGTGAAAACCCCACACTGAACGCCTCAGAGGCATCATGACCTTCTCAGGACCGTCGGTGTGGACGCCTCCCGAGGGCCCCACACCTGTCGGAGGGCAGACAGAGTTGAGACTCAGACTGTGGCTGCGTTTAATCACCGTGCTCCATCACTACTATTTATTTTGCTGCCCTGTTTATTTTTCCAGTCATAAACCCTGCTTAAATATTCATGAAGAGTAATTTGATTTTTCCCCTCCTCTGAGCTGTAAATTTTTATAATTGGATTTCCATGGACCTTTGCACTACAGACAATATTTGAAGTGAATTTATTTTTCAAACTTAGGATATGAGGTGGCTTCTGCGGTCTAACAGTTCTAGAAGCCAAACCTTCCAGCCTAGTCTAGCCTTTGACAGATTTTCTGATCGTTACTTTCCTAAAGCTGCCATAACAAAGTGCCACGAATGGATGGTTTAGAACAACAGACATTCACTGTCTCCTTTCTGGAGCCCGGAAGTGTCCATCAGGGTGTCAGCGGGGCCGTGCTCCCTCCCAAGGTGCTGTGGAAGGGTCTGTTCCAGGCCTTTCTCCTTGGTTTGCAGGTGGTTATCTTTCCCCAGTCTCCGTATCTTTTCTCGTAAGGACACCAATCCTATCGGTTTAGGGCACACCCTACTGACCTTGTTTTAACTTGAGTACCTCTAAACACGGTCACACTCTGAAGTCCTGGGGGTGAGGACGTCAACATGCCTTTGGGGCGGCGGGGGCTGTGGTCCAACCTAGGACACCAGCTCCTGAATGAGAGTAGTGGGGGGGGGGCAGAGGCCTGGAACTGGGAGGGACCGTGTTCAGCGGTGTGGCCCGTGGCCCGAGGCTCATTTCCCTTCTGTGGGATGGGGGATGGGACCGGCTGATTTCTGCTCTAATCTTTCACGTCACACTTGAGTTCTGTTTTAACAAAATGGATGCTATATATCTCGAGGTTTCCTTGCTGCAGTAATTTCATATTAGTTTTTGGAAAGGTGGCTTTACCTTTCTCCTTCTGCCCATTTGCCACAGGTTGGTCTCAGCCGCTCAGGTCTCCTCTCTGTAGAACCAGCTTCAGGGAGGCGATGCCCTCCTCATCTTTTCACTTTTCTCTCTGAGACCTCCTGATTTTTCCTGTCTGTCCACACCCTCAGAGACAGACCAACTGCCTCAGATTGTCTTCATAGAGAGGCTCTTCTGTGACAGATATCCAGAGATGCCAAAAGCTGTGTTTGATTCTAAAGGAACCGCCTGTGGAATTGTGAGTGTTTAGTCAGCATCCCTGCATCAGGCTGACCTGTGACGGCAGCCCTGACTTCACTAGGTAATCCCTTCAGCAATCATTTTGGAGACAAACGTGTGGGGAAACCTTATGTCGGCCCATCTAATCTCAGGGCCCACCCCTTTCACCAGGATCAGAGGCCTGGTGTTGTGATGAGAAAACTGAGTCTCACGGACACACGGGGGGAGGCTCCTTTGCCTGGACATGGCAGGGTGGGGGGCCAGGTTTGAGCTCAGGCAGGGGCCCTCCAGAAACCTGCGTCACTCAGGGACTCTGCTCCAGGCCATAGAAGAGCTGTGCTGCCCACGGTCTGGACCAGCCTCTCTGACATTTCACCTTTACGCATCCCGTTCTTTCACTCGTTGTTGGATTTGCCCAGCAGCTGACAGAAGTGACGTGAGGAGTAGAGATGACATCTTCTATGTGATTTGTACAACAAATCAGTGGTTAAGATGTCATTCGGGTTGTTTCTCGTACCTTACTTATGATTTGTGTGTTTTACTGTGTATTTTACTTGAGGCTTTTTACTATAAAGCATGCTCTTTTTTGTTTTTTAAATATATTTTTATTGATTATGCTATTACAGTTGTCCCATTTCCTCCCTCTATTCCCCTCTCCCTTGCACACCCCTCCCACCCACGTTTCCCCCCTTAGTTCATGTCCATGGGTCATACATGTAAGTTTTTTTGGCTTCTACATTTTCCACACTATTCTTAACCTTCCCCCTTTCTATTTTCTCCCCACTGTCTATGCTACTTATTCTCTGTACCTTCTCCCCCCTTCTCCTCCTCCCACTCCCCTGTTCATAACCCTCCATGTGATCTCCATTTCTGTAGCTCTGTTCCTGTTCTAGATGTTTCATTAGTTTGCTTTTGTTTTTATTTTAGGCGTGATTGTTAATAATGGTGAGTTTGCTGTCATTTTACTATTCGTATTTTTATCTTCTTTTTCTTAGATAAAACCCTTTAACAGTTTATACAATATATGTGACAGGCATGCTGAGGGAAAAAATGGCCTAAATGAAAGAACAGATCAAATCTCAAAAAAAAAACCCCAACTAAGCAGTGAAGAGATAGCCAACCTATCAGATGCACGGTTTAAAACACTGGTGATCAGGATGCTTAAAACATGCTCTTTTGAAGACAAAATCTTAAAAAATACACAGGGAGAAGAGGAGTGCTGATCACAGCAGGAGGGGCAACTCCCTGTGACTGCAGCCAGGGTTTGTAGGTCAGTGGGATATAAGCCCTGGGGAGAGATGCAGACAGCGGGGCTCTGAGAGCCGGGGGGGGGGGGTGCGCAGCTTCTCCAGGCTGCCCAGGGGGCCCAGGGCACTTTGCTTTGCTCTGTCACCGCCACAGATGTTGTTTCAGTGAAATGGCCGTTCTTTTGTCCCTTCTTTATGAGCATCTTGAAGAGGCTCACGTATGCACTTGTTACCTTAGTGTGACTCATTCCCTTTCCTCCTCAGATGTGACTGTGCTCCGAGGGTTCTGAAAAGGGAGATGAGTCCAGCTGCAGGGCTTGTTGGATTACCTCTGAGATAGCTAGGTGTGCCTGCGTGTGTCTGCACTGTGTGTGTCTGTATGTATATCTGCACCTGTGTGTGTGTGTGTCCGTGTGCATCCAGGTCTGTGTGTCTGTGTCTCCGTGCATGTCTCTTTGTGTCAGTGTATGTGCGTGTGTGTGCATGCACACAGGCAAACGCCCACATTGGCAGATGTTACGTGGTAACCTCCTGTACAACATCTGAGCTGTTTCCATTGCTCTATTTTCATGACCCACCACTGGAACAGGGAGGAAATCAGATTATCACCGTGTATGCCTAAGCAGTAATATTTTAAAGATATAATTCATCTTGGTCACCACATGAACAAACCCCCAAGGGAAAAAATACTATCTAAAGCCCTTTGTCCGTGTTTACTTGCTGAACAGGAGGGTATTCCTCAGAAGCTATGGACTCTCCGTCCTTGTGAACAAGTCAAGTGATTAATCATTGTCTAGGACTTTTCTTTGCCTTTAAGGTACTTGGGAGATATTTCTAGAGGCCACTTCTTTCTTTTAAGGAATGAGCATTGTGGATATTTATTCCTTAAAAGGCTAGAAGATGCTCAGGCTCAGCTGCGTTGGCAACTGACTTAAGCCAATATAGTTACGAACATATTTGGGTTCGTCTTGTTGGACATTTATAATCACAGTGGAGTCTGAGATGGTAGCTACTTCATCACAATCTGACCACCTGGTAAGCATCAGATTAAATTTTGATTTATTGGAGGACATTTATTAACTAAACATTTATTACCAAGCAGGCATAAAATAAATAAATCAAATGACCAGTTCCTTCTCTTTTGGTACCTGGATACCATTTCCAGATTTCATTTAAGGCAACATCCCCCCCCAAATTCCAGAGTTAATATGTGTCATCATCACAGACATAAGTTTTCAGTATTCAGAGCTGGACACTGGATATTTCCCAAGGGGATGGTTCTTGAATCATATTCTGTCTCCGAGTTTATTCCTTCCATGGAAATCATACACGCCCAGCAGTAACCGTGACTCCTGCAGACTCCCGGTGGGGACGCCAGGCCCCTGGTCCTCTCCAGCTGCTCTTTGAACACTGCCCTCATTGTCATTGTCATTGCATGTTCGTCAGCAGGCTTCTCCGTCCCACAAAACCGCACCCTCCCAACTTCTCCCTTTCTCTATGGCAGTCGTCATTCTGCCACCTCCAAGATTGAAGTTTATAGTCATTTGTTAACACAGCCACCTCCTCCACGCCCAATTCCAATCAGTCGTTGTATTGTCTCAGTTCTTCCTTTGCATCTGTTTGTTTCCTCGTATCCCCTTTACCCAAAGCCAGAGACATATTACCACTTATTAATTGGTGGTTTTTTTTTCTGTTTCTTCCCCCATTATTCCACAAGGTGCCAAACCAACCTTCCTTAAACCACCTGGATTAGATCACACTCCTGTTTTAAGACTCTCTGCAGAGACCTCATTTCACTGCCGAAAATGTTAAACCATCTTTGCATATTTAACAGGTCCCAACAAACCTTTACTGCCTGGTTTCCTCTTCCTTCACTCTGCAAGCCTCCCAGCCCCTTGGACTTTCTATTCCCAGTCCCTCGAATACGTCACTTGCATCAGGCATTCCTCGCTAGTTTTTTTTCCCATGACGTTCTTGCTTTCCTCCTTAGTCTATGCTCACACCCCCCAACACACACACACACACACACACTCTCTCTCTCTCTCTCTCTCTCTCTCTCTTTTGGCCTCTTTTAGCTTCAGAGTTTGTTTTTTTTTTTTTTTTGCTAATATGTCAAGTGTTTAGACTTTGTAATTAAAAAACAAATGAGGAAACTGGCTTTAAATATAGATGGTGCCACTTACCATCCTGTGTGGCCTCGGGCGGTGATTACATTTCTGAGCCCATTTCCACGTCGCACATTGGGAGTAATGCCTACGAGCATATTGCTCATCCTTGACTTCAGTTCCCTTTTCTAGTACTTTTCCTCCCCAGTGAAGCCTTTTGTGTCCTTACCAATCATAGATCTCTCTTCTCTCAGCCTGTAGCACTGATTTCTATTATTTGGCCTTTGTAAAATCATCATTTGATTCTTCAAGGTACCTCTTGTATTGCCCTTCAGTGTTCTGGAACCATCCATTGTATCCTAAACCAGACAGTGCAAATGCCTTGGTTAGGATGCTTGATTTTTGTGTAGTCACAGCACCCAGGGCACTTTATCACAGTCCTCTCACTTACTCTGACAACATGCTATCAGGGGGATGTAAGGGGGAGTGAGAGCCAGAGGCTTATGTGAGCTGCTTAAGAGAGTTACCTGAGGTTGCTCAGGAGGAAGTGGCAGAGGCAGACCCAAGTTCAAGGCCTGTGATTTGAAGCCCAGAATTGTCTCCTCCCTCCCAAATCTCTAACCTGAGGGGCAGAATTTACTTTATGTTGCATTTCAGCACTTAATTTTGCAACTCTTACAAGTTCCACCCCTGTGGCTAACTGTAATTGAGAAGGTATTCTATAAATATTTTTGAAGGAGCAAATGAAATGGGTACTCTTGACCATATTAATAATGCGAACTAATCTTGTGGGAGTTAAGGGTCAATTCTCTATGTATTTGGGGGGTGAGGTGCCTAGTGTTTGGCCTTTCCATCATATACCCTGTGTCTCTGAGGAATACCAACTCAATGTTTCCATTCTAAAACACATAATCATGAGGTTAGAGGAAGCATTCAATGCCATCAGCGGAGACAAACCAGAATTCACCCTGCAGGTTCTCGAAAGTGCCTTTGTGTGGCTCTGAACCCTGTGAACCCTGTGAACCCTGCCACTGTGTTCGTAGCTTTTCAGCCCTTGGCTAAGATCAAGTAGAATGTTTGTTCTTGGGGCTTTTAACAACTGACGTGTTCTCCATCCAAGGACAACATATTTAGACTGTGCGTGCCTTACAAAATATTAAGCTCCTTGTGACGCAAAACTTTTAAACAGAAGATTCAGTTGAATTCTCTCGGATGCCATTTTTTTACATTGTTCATGTACCTGCTGTCAGATGTCATTCTGTGGTGCTGGGCGTACCCAGTGACTGAGCCCGCAGACCAGGAAGCTTTGCTAAGCCTGGGGTTCGGAACACTTTCTCTCTCACAAAGAGAATTGGCGCTGCTCTGGTGCTTGCCTCCCTGTCCCTACCACAGGCATGCGCTCCTGGGCTAGAGGGGACGGGAACTCAGAAAAATCAGTGCAGGACGCAGTATAAGTAAAACCACCATCAGAGAAAGAAACAGATTGTACTTACCTGGGTTGCATGTGAAGAATAGTAGCAGATGGAAGTTTTTCATATTATATAACAAATTTTCATGACTTGAGTTCATATTAGGGTCAATTAAAGAAAAGATAAAAGGAAGGCAACAAGGGGACAAAGAATGGACGAGGAGGACCCAGGACTGAGGCAGAGGGTGGAATGAAAAGCGAGGACAAAGAGAGGAAGAGGAAAGAGAAAGAAAACGAAGAGTAACGTCAGAGGCTGGCTCCTGTGTCCCGGGGTGAGCGCTGGTTGTGGTCAGCGGCGTCAGTCACACATCCTGTTTTTCACACTGGGCATCGGAGCACATTTTCACTGCCCTTTGAAATTTCCATGCACTCCACAGTGATTTTTGTAGCGCTCTTTCTTTACTAGGAAATTGCTTATCTGCTCTTATTTTCAGTCTTTGAGGTCTATTTTTATATGGCTTTATTTTCACACAAAGCCCAGAATGTTTCGAAATGGGTAAAGTAATACATTTGATCTGGTCTCTTTTCATTTCAATCTTAAATTTGGGCCACTTTAACAATTCCAAAATGCAGAGGAGTGGCTTTTTTTCTACAATAATTGAAATGTAACTTTTAAAATATTTATTGTTATTATTTTGTTATTTGAAAGTCTCACCAGAGCTGCAGTTTAAAATATGTTCTACATTTGAATAAACTATTGCTGCCTGTAGGTACCGATTTTTCTCCTCTGGAGAATAAAGACACACCACGCCCCTCCAGTTTTCATAAGATGCCACAAGGTCTTCTGTGCCCCCCTCACAGGTGTGGCGCAAAGTACACAGAAATGAGTCAGTTCCTCCCTGCTAATCCCCCTCCACTGGCACTCCCACCAAGTGCATTAAAAACAAAAGAAAACGAAACTCTTCCTGCCTTTTAATTCCCATCGATCACACTGAATGGAATAGTCATATTAGTTCACAAGGCACAAAAATGATTTTCAGCTCATCCACCTGCAGTTCTGTATGCTTTGTCTGCTCTCAGGCTAACGTAACTTTCGTTCTGGGGGAAATTTGACCTGGATCTGATTCTGGTCCTCAAAGGGTGCTGACCCCACACACCTGTTCTGCCGAATCCTGAATGACCTGACTTTCATATTCAGCCACTGAGTCTGAAGACTTCCTGGGATCCAGAACACTCATGGAACTAAATCAAGAGTTTCAATTTTACCCTAGAATAAAATATTGCTTATACCCACTCCAGGCATATTTTTCACTTCCATCAGAAATAGATGTACACCTGTACAAAGTTCAAAATGCAGTGACTAATTAAATATACCCTATGACTTCAGGGAAGCCAAGGAAATGACAGTAATTTCAAGTAATACAGTTTTCAGCAGACAAAGCCCAGAGAATCTTGACTCTCAGGAATGTAGATGTCATTTAGTCTAATCACTTACCCAGCGCGGACACTGCCTCAGACACAGAGCTGATAGCTTCTTCCTGGAAACACAGAATGACCCCATACATTTTGCCTTTCAAGGCAGCCTGATGTGTCATGAAATGGCTCTGGCCATTCAGAAACCGGGCTTGATACGAGCTGTTTGTCGGCCTCTCTGTGCTGCTCACCCCTTGTTGTTAGTGCTGCGTAGGAGACTCCTGCCAATTTTTTTTCTTAGAAATGACCTTCCCTCTTTGCAACAACTGGTATGCCCACTGTAAGCATATTCTTCTTTAGGTTCTACTTCCCAGCTTTGGAGCCCTTTCTCTGAAATGTTTCTAGACTGGTCAACAGGACCCTTCCTATGACAACCGTGGTTGTCCACTTCGGGCAAACCCTGATCGAGCCGGAGACCAGGGAGCTGACCTTCTCCCGTGAGGCCGTATTGTTGCCGTTGAGGTCAGAGATGTCTGAAAGGATACTGGGTTTATTCTGGACCTTGTTTTCTTCCTTTTTAAAAAAACTTCATTTATTTTTTCTAATAAAATCCACATTATACATATAAGAAGCTTATGATAAGTGAGCTTTCTAAATCTGTTTCTCCCAGACCTATAAATAATTTAAAAAAAAAATTCCTACCAGACCCATGGCAACAAATGAGGTGTGCTTCCTTTAATTATTTAAATTTCATTAGCTTTTGTCCACATTTGCTGAAGCAGTTCTCCTATGCAATGTATCTAATTATTTCTGGGAGCTCCCTGGTGTGTCTCAAAAGAACAAGACCCCATTCATCGGAGCCCCTGGGCCTCCCCCAGGCCCAGAAGCTCGCGGTCCTCCCCAGGCTCAGCAGGGTCCCGTGTCTACCCCGAGAGCCAGGCAGACACCACAAGGCCCTGCTTCCCCAGGGCAGCTCCCCACCGGCACTCACCTCTCGCCCTTTTGTTTCTGATACTGTGCAGAACCACGTGCTTGCAGTTTCCAACTCCTTCCAGGACACACAGCTTCTCCCCTGGGAATGCATTCAAGGAACAGCCACATATTCCATTCAGAATGGCTCTGCTCTCTGCAGCCAAGGCTTTGTTATTGGGCCAAGGCTTTGTTACTAGTGCCCAACTCCTTCCATAGTACTGGGGGTTCCCTGAGGAAGCCGCTAACCCCCCTGCAGAACGTCCTGGATTAGGTCTCTGCAAACCCTGACTATCTTCACTCTTGAAAGAAACAATGTAAACATTCTTCAAAGTCATCATTTTTAATCGCTCTACAATATCCACCCTATTGATATAAAATACAGAACATTTTTGCCCATTTTACTGTTGCTGAGAATATTGGTATATATATAGCTTCTTATTTTTAGCAAATATTGAACTTTACCTTATTCCTATAATATTCTTAATTCAGCTCATTGTTTAGCATTTGTAGATAGATTCATGTTTTAATTATGTCACTCAATATATTCACAGCATTCCTAGCTTTTGGCTTTAGGTATGCATTTTTAAGATGAATCTCTAACTTTTTAACTGTCACACCAGATAGTAGTTGCTTATAGACCCAGCTTTTACATTTTGGCCCGTGGAGCCCAAAGCCCTTGTAATGAGGCCTTTGTACCAATGAGTGACACATAGGGAAGGAGTGAATCAAAACCCACCCTTGATTTCGAATGTCACTGCATATTCATGCCAGCTGCTAACTGGTATATTTCCTAGTAATGACTTCAAATCCTCCTCATTACAAAGAAATTTTATAAAATTAATTATAGAAATAAAACAACCTTTAGGTATAGTCTAGTTCAATGACTCAATTTTAACCAGGAACCCAACTCATCTGCCTCTACCTTAAACAAGTCACTCCTCACTCTCCTTTGGTTTTCTAATGGCAGCATAAATGTGGGGGGTAAAAGGCAAGCCCCAGGCCCTGTCCTAGTGCTAGGAGTGATAAAAGTGGGAATGGAAGTGGTAGCGGGTATGATTCACACTCACTGGCAAGAGAAAGAAGGATTCCCAAAGCAAGTGAGAGTTAACTGCCACCTTTAAGATGAACAGAGAATTCATCAGCTGATGGTATGAGCAGGCTAAGAGACTTGAAAGGACACAACGTGTTGGGCAGCAAATTTCTGTAGACACAGCCTTAGGGTACACAGTTTCCTCCCTGGTACACTGAGGGGAAGCTGCAGAGGTGCGAGTCTGGTAGTAAAGCCCTTGGTATAAGGAACATGAGAAACATGTATATTATGTACCATGAAACACAAATGTGTGTATACATATAGGTTATTCAAGTAGAGGAATGACATGCTTAAAGAAAGATATTTTTATAACATTATGCAGAATGGATCAGAAGCTAGAGGGAAGAGATAAGACTTTTCTTTGTAAAAGTGACAATTTTATTGATAAAGCACAAAACTTACACTCAAATTCCTGGGACACGAAACAGGTTCATAGCAGCTTGTTCAAAGTTTTGGAAAAATGGTCAACTTCTTGTTATTGCTTTTGTTTATTTATCTGTGAGATGTAGTGACAGACCCTCTTTTTATCTTGGTGAAATCTTTAAATAGGTAGAAATAGAGAAGGCTGAAAAAAGCTCTCAGGAACCTCCTTTACCTCGGTTTTATCTGCCTTTTGGAAGATAACTGATCCAAAGCTATGAAACCCAATATCTCGCCAATCCTGTATTCCATTTGGTTGGACAATGTGTCAAGAGAAGGCCTCAGGCTTTCTTTGTCCATCAACTGGCCAGTCATGAGTCATAGTCTGAACATGAGGAAATGTTCCTTTATGTTTTCATAGTCATGGCAATGAGACTTTTTATGCCTGGAGTACTATCCTGACCTAGAATGCCTATTGAGAAGGGTATTGTCTGCCACAGGCAGGGAGTGGAATGTCAAAATGCAATTCCGAGAGCTCCATATCATTCTAATAGCCTGAGGAAGCTGAGTTTTTACAGCTGCCTGGAACCCACATGTTTCATATGCCGTGGATCTGCACTCTTAATTAGCTGCTTCAGGATTGGAAGTGCCCCCTGGCTTTGGAAAACACTTGTCAACCCACAGAGGGAGAAGAAGAGCTGGAAGCAATTGGACTGCAGCCTGCATGTATTATAATTCAATTTAACAACCACCTTATCTTTCCAAATCCCAGTTCAGAATCTGTTGAAAATTATAGTTGATTGAAGTTGATCTCAGCGATACTTCCTGAGAGAATAGAGAGGTTCCTGTTCAAGGTTTCTTGCAGCCACAGACACATAGAGAGAGAGCTACAGAAAAAGACTGATGATCAAGTGGTGCTTTCTGGACCCACAGACACACTTTTCCAGAGGCTAGAAAATAGGTGCCAGGGAGGGGCAGAGGGAAAACGGTGGAAGTGGAAAGGCTAATGCAGAAAGCCCAGGACTCTGCATTTCTGACCTCCCACCAAAAGAAGCACTGCCAACACCCACCTCCACCCTCTACCATTTTTTATTGCCCAGAGCTGGCACTCAACAAACCGTTAATTCTTCTTAACACGATTCTCATGACCTAATCGGACCAAGCTCACGATGCTCATGATGCCTTTAGTCAAGTAAACAACCGTTGTCATGGGCAACAAATGCAGGAGTTGCATTGCAAGTAAACCACATTCTTCACAGAGCAGAATGCTAGAATATAATCTGGAAACATTTGGCACTACCTCTATTAAAGATGTGACACCACTTAAAAACTTACTAGGAAAGTCCACATCAAAAATTTAAAAAGAAAGCCCATGCAAAAGCTGGTCGTGTTGACATCACTCCCATGATTGCTATCACACACTATTTCGCCTACGAGGGCTCTTTAGACAGCCA